TAAAAGTTGTGGTAATGTTATTTTTAAGATGGATATTAAGAAAGCTTTTGATTCTATCATGTGGGAATTTTTGCTTGATGTTATTAAAGTTGTTAGCTTCAATGATGATTTCTGCAATATTATTAAAAGGATTGTAAATAATAACTATTATTCTGTTATTATTATGGTACCTCTAGTGGCTATTTTATGGCCTCTAAAGGTATTAAACAAGAGGATCCTCTAGTGGCTACTTTATGGCCTCTAAAGATATTAAGCAGGTATTACTCTGTTTGTCGGGAGTCAAAATTTCTCCGAATAGCAGGAAAACAGTTTGGAGAAGGAAATTCTACTTTCATTTCATGTTTCCTCCAACTCTAAAGCTTGGTTCCTCATTTTTCTGCTGATTATTTCTTCTCTTTTCTTTCTTTTCTTTGGTTCTTTTCTCTCTGGACACTATCTTCTCTTCTTTCTCAAGTTTGTTGCTTATTTCTTTTTGACCACTTTCTCTCTCTCTGTTGTTTATTTCTTTTTGACCACTTACTCTCTTTCTCCTTGCTTTTACTCCCCCTCAACTCTATACCTTTTGCGTCTGTCACCATCATTTCTCTGCGTTCACTCACCACCCCGAATGATCTTATTCTATATTTTGAGCTGTAAATTTGTTGTAATATAATTATGTGTTGCTGCTTGCTAACAGTGAATGTTAGGCTACTAATGTTCCAGCCAAATTGCCTTTTTTTTTCATCACTTGGTGTCATTTAAATTTATATATTTTGCCCGTGATTTTTTTGCATGCGAGTTGTACCATTATTTTCACATGTTTCTGCTAAAAGCTCAAGTTTGATGTTTCATCAACTCCCTTAATTTGCTATAATTTAATCCACTTAATGATAATAATGTTGAAAAGTAGTACCTTTTTTAAAATTTTTCCTTGAGCCATGTTTTTAGGCTTAGTTATACATGTATACGTAGCTGTTACCCTGCAACGATCAGCAAATCAATTCTGAATGTTTATTACGGCTTTGATTAAAAAAATAGTTTCTACTTTCTATTTTTTTTTTCTCTATCTTTTAATTCTGTCTACAATGATGAAAATTTGAGCTTTTAATTATTTTCCTTTAATTAAATTCTTATTTTCATGACCTTTTGAATCATAATGTTTTACTTATGTTCAGCAATTAAAGCTCATCTTGCTATTCTTGGGGCTGAGATAGACAAAACCTCTCCACCACATCTAGTGAAACAGTTTGAAAAGATACTGTCCGCCAATTCTGAGGTAATGCTTCCAATTTAGATTTTGGACAACTCATTTGGTATTATTTATAGAGACCATAATTTGGAAGTTGCTTTTTCTTTCCCTCAAGTTTAATGCCTGAATTTGCAAATTATTATTTGTTTGGACTATGCTACATATGTTCTACTTGTCCAGATTTCACTTTCAATTTTTTGTACTCTTTAGGCACCTGCATAAACTTTATTTAAACTAATGTCAAAAGATGGTTCTCATATAATTTTTTTAAAATTGAACTTAAAAGGGTTTAATGACTTGCTGTATCCTAATAAATGCATGATTTGATTTTTTTTTTCTCTTTTTGTTATTTTTTTTGTAAGAAAGGTTTTGGATGCACAAATATAATATTTCAAGGGATTTCATTTTTGTAGGATTTTTGTATTTTACCTAATATCATGACCAAAACACCAAATAATTGAGGGGCAATTACATAGCACTCGAAACATTGCTATTTATTTACAGAGCTAGCACACTATTTCATCCAATTTTCAAATTCTTACCCAAATATCAAAATTTATAATAAAATCCCAACCCATATTTTTCATCCTAAAAATTTACGTAACACATATAATTCTTCTGTATTTACTTATCTTACACTAAAACTTTGATATTTACTTGCATACGACTTTACCTATGCATGAAAATGTGGATTTCACCTTTGAACTGTAATAATTCGTCGGTTCGGTACTTCAAGAAATTAAATGTCGTGAAAAGTAACAATATCTCAAGTGTTTTGCATGTAATTATCCCAATAAATAAATATATACATCCATTTAACAAAAACAATAACTTTGCTTTGAAGGTGGAGAGTTTTGTGAAGATATTTGACGGGGTTGCGCATGGATGGACTGTGCGTTATGATGTTAATGATGAAGCAGCTGTAAGTAAGGCTGAAGAAGCTCATAGAGATATGATTGGTTGGTTTGTGAAGCATCTGAAATAGGAAACCATTTTACTTTACTGGAAATGAACAGATCTAAAAGACACCTGTAATAGTATGCTGAAAATTTTTTGTTGAACAGCGCCTTTATTAACTTCCACATTATTGCATGCTGAGTAAAGCTGAAAACTAAATCTTCGTTCTTTTTATTATTTATATTATTATTATTTATTTATTTATTTTTATAACTCTTTGGCTTGAGGCAGAGAGAAACCGTTAGATTGATCTGGCGGTGGCCTCTGTTCCTGCTTGGCTGAGTCAAAATTTGGGAAACAGAGGGCGCAACTTGGATCAGGTCAGTAATTCATGTTGTTTTCACTCAACTTGTACCTGTTGTGCGGCAATAAATTTCTTCTGAGGAATTCTTAAAAAAAAAAAAACTCAGAGAAAAGGGAATGATAACATATTCTTTGGCATTTATAGGAATTTGCATTATACACTAATAAAGCACATATTCTCCCGTGTCACCATCTTAATGAATATTGAATTTGCTCTACCTCTTTGCTCCTCCTTTTAATACATTCTGACATTGCATCTAAAGGTCCCTTTTTATACTAGGTCCAATTTCAGAACAGATCATCCCTTTACCTGAAGTTTGATAGAACCTTCTTTAATGATGCTTTGTTGGCTGCTTACCCTGTCTTTCATATTTATACTTCTTATCATTCAGATCATTCTCCTATTATCCTCACTTCTAGAAATTATAAACCCAATCACAGACTTATTTTCAAGAGATATTGGTTGAAGTAATCGAAATTTAACATTCTTATTCATGTAAAATTTGAAAAAGTAAATAACATTTTTTCATGTAATAATTGAAATTACAAGGAATGAGTTGTGGATACAAGCAACTCTTTCTTTTTAAAAACATTAATATTAAATTTTCCGTGTGTTCACAACGACATTGAGCTTTTAATGATAGAACTGATTTGAAGTTTAATTTGACAAATAAGCGAGTAATGAATAAAAGCGTAAAGCTTTCGCCTCAATGAATAGAAGTTTAAAGCTTGCCTCTATTATAAAAGATATTTGATAAGAAAAATTAAATTAAAGGCAAATGTTAATACTAACCATCTAACCATGCATTCACATAATACACAGTACACTAAATACAGTAACCTCATTGATGTTCATAAATACATTTCAAATTATTGTACTCACATCTAGTGTAATATCACTGTAGCCTAATTTATTCTAAGCTGGCTGCTTAAAAATAATAGGCATTCAATTTCAAAGCTAAATTAGTTTTAAGGGTTAACTGTCTTTTTAGGAAACTTACGCTGCACTACAAACTTAATATTAATATTTCCTGGCAGAAAGAAACAAATTCATAAAACTCAAAATCTTTTGTATATCTAACGCCTCAACTTCAATCTTTACATATGTTACCTTATCTATGCATGAAAATGTATATTTTACTATTAAAAGATTTAAATAATGATATTTTTTATACAACATAACAGATTTGGATAATATAAATGTAAGAAAATAAAGTTTAGATGTAGGATATGTAAATACATGGAGAATTGGGTGGTATCATGTAAATGCCCCAAGAAAAAAAAAACATGGACAAACAAAAAAAGCCATATAATGAACTAAAATCCTAGCTATCAAAATGATCAGATTACAACTGACAAATTTACAAATATAACCACCAAAATAATCATATGAATCAGGCATAGTAATAAAAAAAACTTCAATAGCCAAAAAGGAGTCCATAATTATTCCTCAGAACCGGCTACTCAGTATTTTCCTGAACCGGAACACTTGTCACCCTTACCGAAAGCACCTTTTGACAGAACGGTCTCCCAAAACAGAGTCGCCGCAGGGGATGCTCCATAAATCCATGACGCCGAACCCCTCCTTTCATTTCCAATATATAGAGCACCATTTTCCCTTCCTGTTAACAGATGTCAATTAACACAAATTGATATTTCCATCCATGCCATTAATTCCGCTAAAGGGTATTTACAAACCACCTAATTCCCGTGTAATTATATATCCAACACTTAAAACTTGTTTTTATATTTATAACACCCAAATCTTGCATATCACATCAAAGGTACCAATACTTTAACTTTTAAAAAGTGCATACACATTTTCCAGGTATAGATAAGGTGGTATGATGTATATAGAAATTGAAGTTTAGGTAGATATGTAAATACATAGGAATTGAGCTTTATTTGGTTATGCCTATAAGGAATACCACTATTTTAACTTTTAATTAAGTGAAATACATCTTTTTATGCACGGGTGAGATGACATAGATGTAAAATTTGAAGTTTAGGCTTTAGATATGTAAGTAAATGCATAGGAATCGAGTGGTATGCATATGTATATTCCAAAAAAATAAAGAAGGCTGAATGAGGTTTCACTAAGTTATTATACACTATTAGTCATACCATATAACGTAGATTAATAGGTTCAGCTTAGTACCTGTGCGGTTAACATTAGACAGATTCCCATCACTTTTACCTGAAGCCAATTCCCATTTGTCTTTCTTAATTTGATTGAACGTTTCGTCAGGCAAACATGCCAACTCGATCGAGTTATGGGCTTTCAGCAAACGAACATCGATAAGTGCCGAGAGATTGATCTGCAAAGCCATAGTGACAATCATATTAGATTAAGAAAATCCAGTAAGAAAATGGTTTGTGTCCTCGCTAATCACCTCTAACGAGCCATCTTCCTTGTAAGGCAACACCGTTTGGGGTGAAATGGGTATCTTTGGATTCTCTTCTGAGAAGACCTCAAATTCAGGAGCCGGAACCAACACAATATGTGCAGATCTGAAATCAAATGCTGAGACTTTGCCAACCTATAATCATATAGATATATAAGATTTGTCAGCGCCGCTTGGATATAAACAAGTCAAGAAAGTTGGTTGCGTGTAAATATGAAAGTTTAGGTGTGATATATGTAAATAAATAAAAATTGTGTGCCATGCATGTAAATGCCCCTTGAATTTATTTTAAAGCCAAAGGATGTTCATTATTCATGCATGTTAATATTTTGGAAGATTTACAAACATACTAAATAATTCCTGTGTATTTACATATCAAACACCTGATCGTTAGTTTTTACATACAAGCCATCTTACCTATGCATAAAAAGGTGTATTTCACTTTTTAAAAATTCAAATAGTGGCATTTTATGTGATATGAAAAATTGGGTGGTATAAATGTAGAAAAGTAAAGTTTAGGCGTGCAATATGTAAATATACAAGAACTTTGTGGTATGTATGTAAATGCCCCTAATATTTTTGTTCTCATACTTGGGGTGCTGAAAGCACAGGATAAGCCGTTGATGATGGTTCAACATATCGATAAGCCAGTATATCACCTTTCTGCAACAAATCCAAAGTTAGACTCCATAATTTAGCATGAATGAGCTTAAATTTCATTGAAATATCATAATAAAATAGTAAACTTCTTGACTTGACCGATGAAAAACATGGAAGCAAAATGTACCAGAGGCGGCCGTGTTAGAGGAAAAAGTGCAGTAAAGTCTACTTTGTGCTCGGCATGGCATTCTTAGCTTTTTTGTCAGAAGAATCCCCTTCACGCTTTCTGCCTAACAATGCATGATTTTCCATGCAAAAACCACTCAAATCCTTTTCATTAGCATCGCCGCAAAAAGTTCTTCCTTTAAAGATAGCTGCGGTAAACTGATTATGGTCTTGCTTACTGGTTGTAGCATTCGATAGGACAAATTCCTGAATCATGAGGACAAATTTGCTTGTTAGAGGTTCACATTCTGAGCATATTCTCTCATGCCACTGAAGAATAAAATCGTCCATCACAGTGAAAAGAGACTTTCCAGAGAAACATACATTCCACTTCAACCATTCAGCTTATACTCTTGTAGTTATATCCTGATCTATAATTGAATTTCATAAATTATATCAAGAACTTTAAAAGCTTTGTGTTAGGACTTCATAGTTAGGTTTGAGGGTTTACTAAACCAAGAATGAGATACACAAATAACATCAAAAAATAAAAATTCACAATTCCCAATTAACTTAAGCAAAGATAGGCCTCTTTAGAAGAAAAATAAAAAAAATATATATATATTTTATTTGTTCTATACAATAATTCAAAATTCTCTAAATTCTAAATTTTCAAAAGCAAACTGAAAATAAATATAATACTTTAAAATATTTATGATTTGCATCATTAAAAGAAAACAAGTTGTGTCAAAATTGCAAAATCTCAATCACACGTACAAATCAATCATCACACAATCTTAACAACAATGATAGAACCCACTGACAACAAAAAAAAACAAAAACAAAAACAAAAAAGAATCAACATAGGAAAGTTGTCAAGAATTACTAACCGCTCAAAAAAATTCACATCCAATAACGCACAGCCATTAAGAAGAAATATTTTTCTTCAATCAACCAATCATTCAATTAGTCAATTATAATTTACGAGCTGATAAAATCCTAGTAGTAACCAATAAAGGCCCAAAATAAATAACTATTCAGAATCCCCAACATCTCGCCTAATAGAAAGTTTACTTTAGAACACGTGGAGTTTTAGTGAGAACAAGTTTTCAATCTTAGATTCAACAAAATAGTAAATTTTCAACTTCCAAATTCCGTTTGTAACATTTCCATTAACTTCGAACTGTTTAGCAATAGTACAATACTTAGGAAGGAAGGAATCCAATTAATAATTCTTAACTATTGGACTACCTCCAAATGGAAAGATTGCAGAAACAGCCAAACACAGCTACAGTTCACTATTATAGAAATTTAGACTCGCGATCAAGGCTACATTAAAATCCTAATGGCATCTTAGATTCAAATATGATAATAAGTTCCTTTTCAGATTAAAATACTAATAATGATTTAGACTCGAATCCAATTTTATATCGGATTGTAACTTCTGCTTAATTATAGAGGTTTATTCACTTTAGGAATAGATTCAATTGTAACTCTTCCTTGAATATAGGTTTATTCATTTGCCGAATAGATTTCAATTTTGATTTTACATGCCTTGTCTAACTTTAAGCATGGCCTTTAAATCATTGTGTTAAATAAACACTGATTGCAGGGTCCTAGGCCCAAATTTGAAAAATGCAAAATGAAGGTTTGCGTTAGGCAGTCGACAACCAAGTCGACAACCAATGTAAAATTTTGTTGAAAAATCATGACATAAATCTTTTAAATCATTGTGTTAATGCTAGAGCGTCCCCCGAAAGTGGCGTGTCGTATGACCTGAATACAGTAAAAATTATGTGAGAGCTATTGCATCGGTGCCTGCATGCAATGTTAAATAACCAAGGTTTCCCCACATTATGGACACATGCGAGCAAAGAATTTAGTACACAAGGCTAGTATTAGGATACGATCTTTGAATATAGGCACTGTTACAGATAAATTAATAGAATTAGTAGATATTATGATTCATAGAAAGATAATATCTCATGCATTCAATAATTAAATGGGATGAAAAAAGGGCTTAGGAGATTGAAAGTTTAAATTTTAAACCTTAGTATTCAGACATGAGTCGTACTAGAAATAGTGAATATCTCATGCATTCAATAATTAAATGGGTTGAAAAAAAGGCTTAGAGATTGAAAGTTTAAATTTTAAATCTTAGTATTCAGACATGAGTCGTACTAGAAATAGTGTAAGTGTAATCATAAATAAGAGTTTGAAAGATAATATAGTAAAAATTAATAGAATTTGAGATAAAATTGTAGTATTAAAGATTGTTGATGATACTAAAATTATTAATGTTATAAGTGCTTATACTTCTCAAATAGGTTTAGATATATGTTCAAAAGAAAAATTTGGGAATGACCTAGAAAAATTAATACAAATGATATCTCATATAGAAAGAATTTTTCTTAAAGGAGATTTAAATGAGTATGTTGGTAGAGTGTTAGAAGACTTTAAAAATATTTATAGTTGCTATAGTTTTGGAGTGGCTAATGAAGAAGGTAGAGTCATATTAGATTATATTTTAACTTATGATTTTATTATTATTAATATTTTATTTAAAAAAAGAGATGAGTATAATATCACTTATAAGAATAGATCAATTAAAACATAAATTGATTATTTTCTTATGAGAAAAAAAGATATTCGAGATTGTAAATATTGTAAGATCATTTTAAGTGAAAATTTAACTACTTAATATCGATTATTGATTTTAGATTTTAATATTAAGGGTTGGAAGATGAAAATATAACAAAATATTATCATAGAATTAGATCAGAACATTTAAAAGATACATTAAATCATTTTTACAAGTAAACTTGAAGATCATAAGATATGGGATGTTCATGAAAAAATCGATGTAATGTGGGATAGAGTGTCGAATGCTATTAACCAAGTTGCAATAAATATACTTCGAGAATTAAAATGAAAAACTTTTATAAACAAAAGCAGTTGGTGATGAATAAAAATATACAAGTAAAAATCAAATATAAGAAGTTTTGTTATAAAAATTGGTTTAAATGTAAAAACTTTGATAATTGAGAGAAAAATATAAGGTGGCTCGTAGAGAGTCTAAGAAAATAATTTGTGAAGCTGAGAATTCTACTTTTAGTGATCTTTATAAAAGATTATATATATATATATATATATATATATATAAACTAGCCATACTAAAAGATAAGAAAAATAAAAGATTTAGTCCAAGGAAAAGTATATCAATAATGAAAATAAAAAAAAAATGCTTTTCTTAGATAACGATATTCAACATAGGTTGGTGAGATATTGATTTGAGTAATCTAAATATAAGTATCAATAATAAAATTCTATATTTTTACCGTCACATTAGTAAAACAGAAATATGGCAAACTTTTAAAAAATTGAAAGGTAGAAAATGAATAGGACATGATGGTATCCCAATAGAAATGTGAAACTATTTAGGGTATTTAAAATTTTCTTGGCTTACCAAACTTTTTAATATTATTTTTAAAACTAAAAAGATACATGAGTGGAGGAAAAGTACTTTAGTACATTTTTTTAAGAATACAAGGGATGCACAAGAGTATGCAAATTATAGATGAATTAAGTTTATTTATCATACATTAAAATTATGGGAGAGCGTAATTGAACATAGGTTAAGATGTGATACAAAATTTTCTCAAAATCAGTTTGGATTTATGTCGAGCAAGTCTTTTATGAAAACTATACATTTATTGAGAGGTTTGATGGAGAAGTACAGAGAGTGTAAGATCTACATTTAATTTTTGTTGATTTAGAAAAAAACTTATAAATAAGATACCCAGAAAATAATTTGGATAGTTCTAAAAAGGAAAGGTTTTGATATGGCTTATATTCAATTCATTAAAGATATGTACACAAGTAGTTACTTGTTTTAAAAAAAAGGAGGATTGAATAAGTATTTTTCTATTCCAGTTGGTTTACATCAGGGATCAGCTTTAAGCCCATATCTTTTACTTTAGCTATGGATGTTCTTACTAGACATTTACAGGAGGATGCATCTTATTGTATGTTTTTTGCTGATGATATCCTTCCGGTCGATAAGACTAGAGAAAAAGTCCAAGAAAACTTGAATCATGGAGGTCAACTTTAGAGTCTAAAGGTTTTTGTTTGAGTAAATCTAAAATTGAATACATGGAATATAATTTTGGTTGTAGAATATCTAGTGGTGCGGTCGTAACAATGGGTGATCAAGTCACTAAAAGAGTGAACATATTAGATATTTTGGGTTATTGTTCAAAGTGATGGTGATATAGATGAGCATGTTATTAGTAGAATTCAAGTTGGATAATTGAAGTGGAGGAATGCAATGGGCCTATTGTGTCATAAAAAAGTATTACTCGGGCTTAAAAGGAAAATTTTATAAGATGGTGAGACCTACAACGCTTTGTGGTGCAAAATGTTGGCCTATAAAAGAGAAGCATGAAACCAAGTGTTGTTGTGATGAGAATGCTTAGGGGGATAAGTGGTTTTACACTTAGAGACAAAATGTGAATGAAAATATCTGTGAAAGGGTTGGTGTAGCTCCAGTGGCATGCAAGTTTATAGAGAGCTGCTTTAGATAATTTGGTCAGATTTAAACACTAACCATTTGATGATCTTGTTAGAAGAGAAGAAGCTTTAGATTTGAATTGTGGTAAGGTAAAGGTAGACCTACAAAAACTTGGGCAGGCTGTATAAAAAATGATCTTAATCTATTAGAACTAAATAAAAATGTGCACTCAATAAAACACAATGGAGAAAAAAGATTCATGTAGCCGACCCCACTTAGTGAGATAAAGGCTTTGTTGTTGTTGTTGTCATCTAACTACAAGTATAGCTTCAAGTTAAAAAATGAATTTCACGCAGGTATATATTTAAATTCAACATTAGCTATAATTCATGTATAAATTCATAGTTTAACACCAAATTATCTTCCACATCGGAGGATTTCTCAAAAAAATACTCATGAATTTTAAGATTCTTCGATAATCTCAGCTGGAATATGCATGTTTGTTTTTTTAAGTTCAAGTGTGAAGGCTTTAGAGAGAGGGGTAATATATTCTTTTTATAAACTTCAATTATAAGTGTGTAGTAATAACAAAACTATCACAATAGGCGTCAAACTTTAAAGATCAAGACAAATGCTCAAAAATGAATTTTTACGAATTATAACATAGTTCATTCATCGTCTCTCTTACAAGTCCTTCAAAGAAATAGGAACTGTTGTCTTATGATAGCCTATAAAGGATTTGTTTCATTCCCAACGCTTTGCCAATTGAGAATATCCCACAAATTTTGTTTCAGTAATTTCAACATCTTCAAAATAAAAAAAAATGGCAATGTTCAAAAGAAGTCTTTTGAATTGTTGATCCATCTAAAAAATTCCATAAGGTTATATCTTCCATAAAAATAGGAATATAACTTCGAATCTCATAAAAAATATGCTACAATGTTCTAGAACTTGATATTGCATTTTACAGTGCATCATTTATTATTTTTCACAGACCCAATTAATATATCGAGCTTTAGCTAACATGATGCAAATGCGAGGTAGCTTAAGGTCAATGATTTACTAATGCAAACCTAAAGTGGAATCCACAAAAGCACACATAAAAGATTAAAATTCCCAATCCATTAATTATTTAGTTATGGTTTCTCTTTTGACATTAAATAAAAAGTTATGTATAACTTGCTCTAACCAGTAACTTCAAAAATCTTCAAAATAAAAAAAATTGTAAGAAAATATGAAATAAAACAAGTCACACAATAACCAAAACTAATGATTAAACCAAGAAATCGGTAATTCACCTGGCTAGAACTAACTTAATAAACCAAACAAATCTACTAAAATTTCAGGGAACACCGCTTGCCTTCAATGGAATCACGATTATAAGCACGCAAGTAGTTCATCTGACTAGAACTAACTTAATAAACCAAACAAATGTACTAAAATTTCAGGGAACACGGCTTGCCTTCAATGGAATCACGATTATAAGCACGCATCTGCAAAAGATTAATTCTATGAAATGAAAACAATAACGAAACATCAACATTCATAAGGTTGGAAGGTTGATGTGCTCTTCTCAACAGTTAAGGTTTGCATCTTTTTTATTAAAATTGTCTTCTAGAATTTTTTTTTAATTTTTTTTAATTTTTTTTAATTTTGTGTCAAAATATTGGAACATGGTTTTGTATCTGATTACACTTCAAATATATTTTAAAGAAAATTAGCAAGTTTATTAGAATGGTAATGGGCTCATACTTAAATGAGGGGCAAAATCTACCTGATAGGCGGATAGACAAAAAAAAAAAAAAAAAAAAAAAAAAAAAAAAAAAAAAGGGAGCTTGGACATAAATAACAAACAATTTGTATGTATTTAAATATCTAACACCTAAACATTCATGTTCACATGCATACTGCTCAAATCTTTAATATCACACCAAAGATCCAACCATCATTACATTTTAAAAAGTGAAATACAACTTTTATGGTTATGTTTATGATACCAAGTAATTAAAAGTGTAAATATCAAACTTTGGGTGTTAGATATGTAAATATATAAAATTTTGTGGTATGTATGTAAATTTCCCAAAAGATACCAATTGATCAACCTATAACTTTATAAGCTATTCATTTTAAGTAATTGCCTCGAGCACATTACAGTGCCTCTGCTTAGGCAAAGACAATTTAAATATCAGGAAATCAAATAAATCATTTTGTTGCTTTCACTTTTGATATCATGCTTTGCAACCAATGTTGATTGGTGTAAAGCTATCAAGAATGAAACTTGAAAAACTCCATTCAGATTCACTCTTCAATCAAAAAATGAAATTGGATCAAGATGCATGTGGGTATAATAATATGCGTTAATAACATGATTTATTTCTTCAGAACCTTAGCCTAATTTCAAGTTGAAAGTAAACAAAAATTGCAGACAATAAGAAATTAATTACAAGAAAATCTCATAAGCATTTAAATAAAGTGAAATTATTTAATAGATGAATAAACAAACCTTATTCACATCACATGCAATATGAGGCTCAGATTCCAGAGTATTGTTGGTTCCTCCGGATTGTTGCCTATGAATAAAAACAAAAGAAAAAAAGGACAGAAATACATAAAGGTTACTGTTTCTGTGCACTTGAAAAAGTAAAATTAATCAGTAAAATGACTACAAAGCCCAAACTATGCTACGAGCAAAGTCACGTTTTAATCATTGCAAGACAGTGCGATTATCACTAAGTGGGGGTTTATTGCGGACTATTTGCTTAAGCTGATCTGATAGCGGAGCTAACTCAAACCATAGTAGGAAAATAAATATTATTACTTGAAGTAACTAAGTGGTTACAATCAACACATTTGAAAAAAAAATATAACAGCATGACACCCGAAAATCGGAAAAAGTAACATACACGACACAAATAATCAAACTACGTTGGGATCTCGAGGGCGGGGGGGTGGTGATCAGCAAGGGCTTCGCCCATCGACTAGGTAACAAGGAGTGGGTGAAGGGTGGAAGGTGAGGCGACAACAAAGGATGTGGACAGTGGCAGCAAAGAGGAGGATTTGAGGCAAGGGCAGCAAGTTGGAAGGAGAGGAATATATGGTTGGTTTGCTGGAGCAGCAAAAAATAACAGGAAAAGGTTGTTTCGGGCTGACTACAGCAAGTGAGAATGTCGGTGAGGAGTAGGGGTTGTCTGATGATTTCTCCAACAATGGGGGATTGTCTGATGGGTGGTGGGTGGTGCCTTCTCTGCTTCTGCTGCCGCTCCGTCTTAAGTGTCAAAGTTCGAATGTCACCGGGCATCCAATAACGTAGTAGTTGGACCACATTATTGATAGAGAGCTTCAGCCCTCCCAAATAACTGGCTATTGTGTGCTCATCTATCTCTATCAACTCATATTTCAGCTTTTTCACTGTGTACTCCACTGATAATTCCCTTTATTGCAGGGAGTGGAATTTCAAAAAATTATTCTAGCAGTAGTGTGGGGGTAGGTATTATCACTGAATCACCATCTTTATTTTATCCCAGGTAGTGATCCTGTCTCGTCATCCTCTCAGTCTTTCCCTCTTCAGATTCTCCCACCACAATGAGGTGCTTTTCTTCAAATTGATGGTAGTGAGCTTCACCCTTATGTCAATTGGTACCTCTTTGTATTCAAAGATCCGACGGTCTAGAACCACTCAACCAATTATCCAAATACATTCTTCCTTCAAAACCCAACAAATCTACTTTCACTCCTAGATCTTTGTATCCTCCAACAAGCACTTACTCTCTTGGCCTCCTCTTCACTTAAATCATCTCTACATAAATGATTCAGATGCTCGTCTAGATCTCCTCCTCGGATCTCGCTATCACAGTCAACGGTAACCTCTCCATGTGTCCTTTCCTCAATTTCATTGAGCCGTTATAGCACTCAATAGAGTTTCCCTATTATCTTTCCACGGTAAAACCTTGATCGACGTGGTATGACTAAGGTTTGAGTGTGGGTATCTGGGATAGGATGTACGGGTGTAATGTCAGGTAAGAAAGAAAAAAATTTAGTTAGGTATGAGGTGTTTTGGTAACCACGATAGAACTAGAGTTAGACTAACTCTGATATCAAATGATACCGAAGTTAACACAAATACAATAAACAACAAATATTATTACTGGAAAAGCCATTAGGTGGTTACAATTACACATTCAAAGGGAAAATAACAACAGCACAACACACAAAAAATATGAAAGTGCGACTAATGACAACACCAACCCACATTAGGGTGGATCTTGGAGTGGTGATGGTGATCGATGAGGGTGTGGATCTCCAAAGAAGTATTAAAGGGCAGTTGGAAGGTTAGATGGTGGGCGACAATGAGTGGGTGATGGTGGCAGTTGAGGGAAGGTGAGAAACTGTTAGAACAACGAGAAGGCGGGCTATTCTGGGAGGTGGCAACAAGAACAAGGGGTTTGACATCATCACGGCAGCACGGGGAATGGTTCTGTGTGGCTTGGATAGTAGAAAAACAACCAGAAACAAATGTTTTAGGCGACAAAAATGAGGAAGAATGACGACAACAACGATTGAGAATGCTTGAGGTTATAGGACAACAAAAAAAGGGTTGTCCTAGGGGTACGACAACATGGAACATGGTTGGACAAAAAGGAACTGCAAGAAGAACAACAAAAATAATATTGTTAGGGGAGCCTGCAACAAGGAAGAATGCGTGAAAACGAAGCGGAAGGGATTAAAAGAATTTGAGGAAGGATAAATCGCCACCTCAGAATGAGACACGACCGAAACATCACTCGATCCTCAAACACAATCCTATAAGGGAATATAGTGATGCTGATGACAGTCATAAACAAAAACACGATAAAAATTGTCCTAAAATATGAAAACGACATACATAATATTAGAGAAACTTAGAAGGCAATCCCACAATAAGAAAGTATTCATCGACCCTCAGATTCACTGGACTGAAATAATTCACACAAGGGTTGGATGGATGACCGGTCCAAGGGGCTCGGTGTTATTGCGCCCTACATAAGAGCGGGAGCGTGCATCCCACAAAAGCGCAGGAGATGCACCATGTTATTCTTTCGAGATTGGAGGGGCTTCAACCTCATCTAGTATGATGATAAGCTATTGATCATGATGTTTGGAAACATGCTCTATGGTGGGGTTGCCCTGTGTCTGGTATTGTTGCAGGCTGACGCTCTATCATCACTAAAACTAATCCCCCCCAACGCTTCTTCACTAACCTCGAAATCCGCAGAAGGTAAGAAAACTATGCTCTTTCCGTTCTTGGTGAATGAGTAGGTGTTCTTGAATCCATCGTTAATTCGACGATCAAAATGTCAGGGTGTCTTCCACGAGATGTGATAGACATCTATGAGCACCATGTCATCCCACACTTGATCCTGTAACTAAATGAAAAACTCCACGAGGCATCTCCCATTAATGTTGAATATATTCATCTTCAACCACGCCAGAGAGTAAGGCTGGGAATGCCACTGAGTCGTTATGCTCAGCTTGTCCATCATCTGCATTGACTCCACATTCTTGTTGTTACCTCCACCGATGATAATGTTGCATACCATTTATTTCAGAGTACAACGGGTGTAAAATATGTTGTGGTGAAGGCACTGCTCCTCCCTTATAACCTCAGTCTGTGGGACGCGTCAAATCACAAACATCTCACCCACATCCAGTGGAGGTTGGTACTCACCCTGCTTTTCAACTGCCTCATATTTGCTCACCTCCTCCACTACGTCGTGTTCAATGAAGGACACAACTTTGCTTGTCAAACGGCTGGAGATGATGTGTCCATATCCGTGGCACCTGAAGAATTTCCTAGTTGGAACTACGCTAGGGGTGCTATTCTTCTAAGGCCTTTTCTCACTATGGGAAGCTCTGTCAAACTCCTGGCTAGTCTTCTCAACTTAGGCGTGCTCCTACTAATGTCTCCAGTTGTGGGTGGTTGTCTGAGCGGTAATGGTGCATGCTTTGCTTCTTTTGTCTCTCCACCTTCAGTGCTAAAGTCTGAACTTCACTCGACGTCCAATAAGGTTGTAGCTGGACAACATTAGTAATTAAGTGCTTCAGGCTCTTGAATGCCTAGTTGTTGTGTGTTCATCTGTCTCTTTAAGCTCACATTTCAACTTAAGTTGCATAAATTTTGTTGTGTACTCCTCCACTGAAGGTGGTGGAGCTTCAAGAAATTATTATAGCAATCGCGTGGGGGTAGGTACTATCATTGCATCGCCTTCTTCATATTCTTCAAGGTAGCGATAATGTCCGACCCTTCACTCCATCTTTCTCACTTTAGATTCTCCCATCACAACAAGTCACTTTTCTTCAGTTTGATGACAACAAGCTTCACTCTTTTGTCATCTGATATCTCTTTGTATTCAAATATCCTTTCAACAGGCTACAAACATTCAACAAAGTCATCTGAATTCATTCTTCCCTCGAAATCCGATAAATTTACATTCACTTCTAAGTCGTTGTATCCTTTAACAGACACTTGCTCTCTCGATGACACAAAGCTTCCTCGTGTGGACGTGGTCGTAGCAAAATTGCGGGAGCGACCAGCTAGCGATCCGACCGGTCCACGTGAATCTTGAGCTGGGCGTCACAGGCGAGGATTTTGACGGGGCGAGCAGCCTCTCGCACCCCCCGCCTCCTTCCTTTTCTGTTCCTCTGTATGGGAAGATTTTGATGGCTATCCAAGTATCGTTCTTGCCTCCCAACCCCTCCTTCTTTGTAGGAGTTTCCCTTACTTCTCTTCTTCACTCCTCCAATAAGAGTCTATTTATTACTGTTTCAGAGACCTAGAGGGAGTTCTTGCTAGCTATTGCTTTCAGATTCTTGTGTGGAGTCCTTTTTCCCTTTATGGTCTATATCCAAGGAGGTGGTAGTACTCTGGTTGTATCATACTCGAAGGTGGTGATTGTATCTTCCCTAAACCTTCCCTTCCCTTTCCCCTTAGCCGCCGACCACCACGACCCTTACCCAAATTGCCACTTGCCCACTTTCCAACCTCCAATTTGTTGTCCAGCCCCTCCAAACCGGTTGTCCAACACCACAACCCATTGTTTTGTAGCCAAACCTGACGCCCAACACTCAATCTTTGTTGTCGCCACCCTCGCTAGTCATCCTTATCCACCTAGCCAACCCCTACCGCCCTTGGGATGCACTTTCGAGGTGTTTGTTTCGTCATTTAATGTTTAGGTGATGTTATTTTCAGTTTGCGAGTGTTGTAACCCTATTTCCCTGTTAATAAAAGTTGTTTTTGTGGTTTAAGCATTCTCTTATGGTATCACCTGGTATTAGAGCTAGCCCAACCCTACTCCCGTCCTAGGGTTTCCTAACATTCGGCATAAACCAAAACATTCTTTCTTAGCACCAAATATCCTTTATACAACCCTAACCCTAACCCCACCAAAATTTTCCTTTCTTATTCCTAAACCTTAGCCATGTCACTAATGAGATACATGCTCGAGCCTACCCGAAAGGAGATAAGACGAGAGATCCACTGACTTCAGTGGTGGGTTACGAACATTGAGAATGAAATTCAATGGGAGGTTACTCTTGATTGTGATCGAGAGACTCAAAGAGGAGAATGAGAGAATCTGAGGATGAAACGGGAAACACAATACCGATGCCTACCAGCTTGCAACAGACAAAAACTGCAAACTCTATTTTCAGAAGTGGAGGAACCACACCTCCGAACGAACCCCACATTTTACAGGCAGGGGTCAACCTCAGGTTCTTATAGACAGAGTGCACCCAAGGGAACACCCATGACAGCCCCGTCCGAGAACAAACTGATTCAGAGAAGAGAACAAGTGAGACGGATTTGGTCATGTGGAATCAGAATGCACCACCAAGGGAGAGATCTATTTTACTGAGCAAGGTGTTGTTGAAAAATTAGGTAATCACACAGTTGATATGGAAGAAGATGAAAACTTTTGGGAGGATTCTCCACTTGGAGCTAGCGAGAAAGAGAAGCCATCAATTCCAATGGACCCCAAGAAAGAGATTTCAGCTAAATTAATAGTAACCATTCTGAAAAGTAGTGATCTCGAAGTAATGAGCGTTCAAGCAGAGTATGAAACTGTGGCACCTTAAGATATCGTTTCATAAGAGTTGAGAGGAGCAACAATTAGACCAACCTTGGCAATCCAAAGGGTTCACAAGCTTGAGGGACCGACATCAGATACAGG